ATTTATTTTATTTATTTTATTTATTTAAAAGCTTAGAATGTGTTTGTAAGCAAATTTAGGCACAGATGAGCCCAGCTGATTGTCCAGATCCATGAGCCACTTGCATTATCAATCAATATACCCTACAAAGTGCCATTTACAAAGGGTATTCAGTGCATCAAAATGAACAAATTTTAGTTTGCCAAATATAACTATAGTTTAATACGAACCTACACGCATATGTATACATATATGTATGTATATACATATATTCCGCTTTCTAATTGGGTCAGTAGTGGCATTGTTTTCCCCGTTAGTTACGCTCAATTGAAACATTTTGTTGGCTTTTATTGTTGTCTGTCATCATTGGTTAATTAAATTATTTAGGCTGCCATTTTTGTTTAAGCTCGTTTTTAGCTGCTTCTATTATATGGACATACTATATATAACAAATATATAAATATATATACATATATAGATTAATTAGCATTTGCTGCGGCTGCCTTTGCATATGTTTGCATAATGCAACAATTCCAATTAGTCCGGTTTGTGCGCCTCAATTTTCAATTACATTTTGCACAGCAAATTAAGAGTGCAAAAAACAGAAAACTGTATACACACGTTATCTAACACTGGCAACAAAATGGTGATCAATTTGAATTGCCACAAATGTATTCTATTCTATTTTACAGTTTAGATATTCGAATGTAAAGCGGGAGAGATAAAATGAGGGAGAAAAGTAGCCAGAGAAAGATAGAGAGAGTGTGAGAGAGAACAAGAGACAGGCAGAGGGAATAAAGGTTGCTCAGCAAGATACTATAGTAAAACCCGTTGGCATGTTTAATAAAATGTATAAATTAATAAAATGTAGCACAGCTTTTAGCGCGTTTGTCTAATTTTTTTTTTATTATATTTTTTAAACAGGTTTTTTACTACCTAATTGGCAGCTTAACAAGTTGAACATAAAGACACAATTATTTACAGTACACACTAAAGAAATTTCATAACAATAACAATATACAAAAACATCAACAAACAATAACAATTTTTAAGTAATTCAATTTTACTTGATAATGAGATTAAAAAAAAAAAAAAAAAAGTCGACTCATTGGAGTAGTTTAGTCAAAATTAAAGCCAAAATTTATTGAATCAAATATTACATTATTTAATATCCTATAATTGGTTGGAATTTCATTTATTGCACATTATTCAATATTCTGTAATTTTTTTTATTTATTTACAACAATTTTTTTTTTTTTTTTTTGTATCTTGCCATTCTTATAAATGTTGCAAATTCCATTTGATTATTTACTTAATTGTTGGCTTTAAGATATTTTAATTAATTTTATTTGTAATTTTCTGTAATTTGCTTAATTACAAGCTGTCAATATATGCGGTAGTAGTACAATTGTTAATTATATAATATATGCATGTATATATATTTTACTGACAAAAGCACGGTTTCAGCGCGCGGGTGTAAGTGTATGAGAAGAGCAGTGCTGGCAATTTAGCTTTTTTTGCGGATTTAGTGACAGTTAGCCGGCAAATGACACAGCAGGAAAATCTATATCAGATTATATCTGCATTTCATATTTAGATTTTTCAATTTACATTATGAGATATGAACTCAGCATCATATTCACTCATTCAAGCCAAATAATACTAGAAAAATAAAAATAATCAAAAAAGCGGAAATACATACATAGATATGCATGTCGACACATGTCCCATAGTTCCCATTAAATTTGGTGTCCCATTTTTGCGATAGACAGCACTGGTGCAAAGCTTCAAACTGTGCTATCATATCATTTGTTGCTCATTTAAATACCGTAATTAAGTGATAGCATGCTATCTATTTATATGCTGATTATAGTTGCTGTTGTTGTTATTATTGCTGTTGTTGCTGATGTCGCTCTTGTTGTTGGGCCTAAAAGCCCTCGCGTGCACACACGCCTCGCTTGGTGCCGGATTTAAGCGCAAACAGTTGCTTATTTTGAAATTTTATTTAGAGCTAATTGTTTCCTGCTGCGCTAGCTACACAGGCAACTCCCTCCAACTTTTCTCCTCACACCAAAGCCAGAGGTCAGTAGCAGCAGCAGCAGCAGCAACAACAGCAACAACAAACCACATAACGTTTTTACACACACGCACGCACACAGCCCTCACACAGTTTCGTTCTCTTTCTATCTTTTGCAGACACTTACACTCTCACACCCACTCGCACGTGTGGCAACCTTTTGCAGAGCTTGACCGAAAGCTGCACACACACACACTTACACACGGGCAATGCTTTGCCATCGTCCGCACTTCGATTGTTTGTTTATTTGCTTGTTTGCCATTGCCTGTTCACACTTGGCGTCGCCGTTGCCGTCAACGTCTGCGCTGACAGCGAACGCAGGTGGTCAGCGACGCAGAGCGAACGGCGAATAAAGCTATTTGTTGTAAAGCTATCGCAAATCGATGAGGATATAAAAAAGTTCATTTTTTAAGTTTTTTATTAATTCAATTTTCCATTTGACATAGTTATTCATAATATTTTGCATTTTACTGTATGGATTACATTGTCAAGCACATAGGCTAAAAAATATTTAGTTAATAATTAATAATGATTTCAAAATAATTAATTAATAATACATACATACATACATGTGTATAGCTATACATAGTCTCCAAGTCAATCTCAATATTCCGCTCAAATCTTATAATTTGGTTCCACTGTGCCAATGCGGATTTCTTCTAGAATAACAATCATCTGCCGCCAACTGCTTAAGTCAGCGATTGCTTTAGTTTAAGCTGCCCAGCGCCTGGCCACACTCCTCTCTCCGCGCCTTTCCTTCTCTCCGTGTTTCCCCACCGCTGGCCACTTGTGCGCCCTATGCCAATTGCACTTTGTACTGCGTCGCCCTTTCCTCTTCTAAGCACACGCACCGTTAACCTTGCCAAACGACCGCAGAGAGCAGCTCTGCAGCTGCAGCTAATGAAACGCGCGCGCTCTCTCAATCACAATCACTCGCGCTCTCTCACCCTCGCAGTGGAGCATGGCAGCGCTGATGTGCTATCTCGTTCTTAACCGCAGCAAGACGTGTTTAAATTTAGTTTCTGTTAATTTTCGTTTGTTTGCCTGACTGAGAGCCTGCCATTGTTGTTGTTGTTGTTGCTTATGTTGCTATCTGCTGCAGCTACTGATAAGCAAAATTTAAAGTTGYTGCGGTCGCTCGTTCAATTTGTAACGAAACATATGTTTGCCATATAAGTGTCAGGGGCACTCAAGTCGCTGTTGTTGTACTCAATTGTTTTTGTTGTTGTTGTTGTCGCTGTCTCCTGCTGCTGATAAACCGTTGCCATTGCCGTTGCCGTTGCCATTGCCGGCATTGACTCAGCTGCTGTCTTCGCGTCCATCGCAACGGGCAATGTCCGTTCGTTCGAACCGTCCCACTTATCGCTATAAATATGTACATATGTATGTGCACTGAGAGAATAATATCACTTTAAAATTAGATATTACTTAAAAAATTAAAACAATAATATTTATAGAACAAAAATTTTAAA